GCCTTGAGTGACAGGCTGTTCCAAGAGATCTGATTGGATAGCATCAGCTGAGCAGAGCGACTTTAGAGCTGAATGCTGAGGAGGAGAATTATAGCCCTGACCAAGAGCAGTTAGACAGGAGAACTGCGAAAAGTTGGCAAGGACCAATGGGTAGTTAGATGGAGACTCCCATTCGGGCCAAGGAAAGGGGGTAGAACTTCTAGTGAGAGGAGTATTTCCCTACCCATGAACGTTAGGCTTCCCAACCCAGTCTCTCTCTTTACATCTCATGGCAATTTCATTCCATGATGACCATCCAACCCCCCCCCCTTTATTTTGTTTGCAAGCAGCTCTGGATTTATTTATTTATTTATTTGCACTGGAGATGCTGTCATTTGACTTGCATGCATCCAAGGTCTGTGAGAATAACACTGGCCAAGAGGTTGCGCTTACATGTAAAAAGAATGCTGTGATGGACTGCACTTTTTAAAAGTTTAGAAGTGCTGTACAAACAGCTGAAGGTCTGTGAAGGGTTAATTCTTCACAGAAACAGAAAGCCTTGTGACAGGCTGTTTCGAGAGATCTGATTGGATAGCATCAGCTGAGCAGAGACACTTTAGAGCTGAATGCTGAGGAGGAGAATTCATTCGAAATTTAGCCCTGACCAAGAGCAGTTAGACAGGAGAACTGCGGAAAGTTGGCAAGGACCAGTGGGTAGTTAGATGGAGACTCCCATTCAAGCCAAGGAAAGGGGGTAGAACTTCTAGTGAGAGGAGTATTTCCCTACCCAGTCAAACAGGGAGTTAGCTCTGAAGAGTGCAGAGATTCCTGGTCTGGTGCGGTTAGAAATGGCCTTTAGAGACCTTAAGAGTCAGTTTAAAACTCAAGATGAGTACTGCTGCTTCAAGAGAAGGGTTTTGGGCCCTTTTTTAATTCTGTATTCCCTCAAAAAGTTTAAAATAAAATTATATTTTTAAAAAGAGAAGAGTTTGGGTATTCTAAAGGGTGCACCAGCCTTCTGGAAACCAAAAAGTCAGAAAATATTCAAAGAAATTCTCATTAGCCTGAAACATAAGAACAAAAGTCTGTGCATGTACTGATTTTACCTCAGAGTTATCTATATTGAGTTACCTCAGAAATTTTACCCCTGATTTCATCTGACCATTACCCTCTATGTTGAATATTTTTTCATTTGGAATATAAAAACGTCTTGGGTGTCATTTAAGTCGTGTCAGTGAAAGGGGGCTCCCATTCCTTCCCTCAGGTTCCTGAGCTGAGCAAACAGACAGAATGTTATACTGTAACAAGGTTGGGACAGCCACAATTCTTCAAGAAAGAAGAAAACAAACAACTAGGGTGGCTCAGTCACAAAATGGAATGAAAAATGGTGGGAAAATCTTGCCTCTGAGGGAGGGAAGTGGATGGGGGCGTCATAGATGCCCACCTTAAGATGTCTGGAAAAAATAGTGATGGGATGTTGACTTTTACCAGGGTTCAAATCACGACACCACACAAGAGATTTCTTGAAGCTGCAGAACAGCTCTGTCTCTCGTCTCTCTCTGTACCAAGACTGTCTCTCTGAGTTTCTCTCTGAGCTGACAGGCTCTCTCACAGCAGCATTTTATTAGAATCAAGAAGGCTCAGTCAAGTTTGTTACAATCAGAGCAAAAGACTTTGTAAGCTAAAAAGTACAGTGTAGTTCACAGAATGTTCTTTTCTCATAGCTCATCTTTTCCCGAATGTTGCAAAGACTGTGTTCTTAGTAATTCATTGTGCAGGCTCATGCAGACTCAGCAAAGAATATGTCCTGCTTGCCAATTCTCCCGGCGAGAGTGTCTCTGTGGGAATTCGAACTTTGACCTGGGAAGTCTGAACTTTGACCTCGGGCATCCCTCGCAGGATTTTCTGTTCAGACTCCACAATGGGATCCAGTCTAGTCCCGGGGTGTCAAACATAAGGCCTCGGAGCTGGAACCGGCCTGCCCAGGGCTCTTATCCAGCCTGCAAGCAACCGGTATGATGGAGGGAACAGGAGGCTGTTCAGTGGGGTGAGTGAGCGGAGCCACTCCGACTGTGGCTTCAGCATGGCAGAACCACCTCATCTGCAGCAGTCAAATTGAACCCCTTTGCTTCAGTGGCAGCCTCACCAGTAAGTGGGGAGCTGTCGTGGCTGTATTAATCTGGTTCAGGTTTACATGGAGAGGCTGCACACCTCTCTGCTTGGCCTGCAGCTCCAGGGATGCTGTTCCGGATGGCTGCAGGGATCGGCATTTGCATGTGGTAGTGTACAGATGATTCCCTGCTGGGACCTGCTGGTGCTGTATTTAGCCCCTCACCCATGCAGCGGCTTTGCTTTGGCCCATGGGGGGCATTCTTCAGCCGTTTCTTTCACACATCAGTGGCCTAGTCTTGCCATCAAGCATACAACTTGGCGGCCAGACCTCCCTCCCCCAATGGCCTTCAACTGTAGGCGGCTGCCGCTGCGCGGGGGGCAGTGCCAGCGATCTCCATCTGTACTGATCACTTAGTGGCCTGGGGCCTCTGCCACATGCATGGCCTTGTGTGTGTGGTGCCCGCTCCCCCATCTGATTCCCAGCAGCCTTCGGCCTGGGGCAGCTGCCACCACATGAAGGGTGGCATGGCTTACCAACGATCTCTTGCTTGAACCTCAAGCATCACCCCACCGTGGATTGCCTAGAGGCCTTGGGCAGAGGTGGACACTGCCACATGGGCATCTTCGGCTCATTAGGCTTTGCTTGGCCTGGGTCCCACAGGTGGGGAGGGAGGATTAGTTCAACATCTTCCCAGTCCCCTTCCGTGATGGCTCAGAGGCAGGGGGAGCTTGCAACACCCAGCTGCTTCATGTTTTTACCCTGGTGCCTGGGCTCACAGCATTGGTGGTGGAAGCCGGCTGGGGAATGGTTTGCCCCCCAGCCCAATGGGCCTTGCAGTGAGGACACACCAACTCAGAGCTTACCAGCTGCTGTCCTTTATAAAGTTTGTATTTCTGGTACCTGGCATTACATTTTATGGCACACTTGCCCGGCCCAACAAATTGACATTTATGTCAGATCCAGCCCTTGTAACAAATGAGTCTGACACCTCTAAATAGCCCATAAATGTAAGCTTCTTCAGGAAGATGCAGTTGATTGATTTATTGAGTTTAATGAGTCAATCGTAAATACAGAGTTTACCTGTGCGTGGTTCCCACCCACCAAGGTCAGTGGGAACTGTTCCACCTGGACCACTTCAACTGAGTGATTTAACAACATTTAACCCGTAGCAGGCAGCTACCAACAAGCAGTGAATTATTTTTTTGCACTAAGCAAAAAACTAGGTTGCTGACTTCAAATGACCTTGTCAGTCCCAACAGCTAAACAGTAACCTTCACTCATTTGTAAGTGCACATTCCTTACCAAAGACCCAATATGGTATAGCGCTCAGTATGGGACTAGTATCTGGGAGACGCAGGTTCAAAACCCCACTCTGTTATGGAAGCTTGCTGGGTGACTTTGGGCCAACCACACACTCCCAGCCTAACCCAGGGTGTCAAACACACGGCCTGGGGGGCCGGATCAGGCCCCCGGAGGGCTTCTACAAGGCCCACAGTGGAACTGACTGTCTTCTGCTTCTTCTTCCAGTTCTGCTGCTCCTGATGCGTCATCATAGGTTTGCAGCTTACAGATATACAGCTGAACAGCATACTCAAGATTACAACAGCACATTTTGATGCAATAATTCAGAGCAAGAGGTGTCAGTTATTAGACACTGTTAAATAAACAAAATATTGCAAGAGTGCTAATGTTTTAAGCATGTTTTAAAGTTAGAAAAACCCTTTGTGTTTGTGTCCTTTATAAAGTGTATATCTCTGCTACCTGGCATTACATTTTATGACACACATGGCCCAGCCCAACAAAGTCTCATTTATGTCAGATCTGGCCCTCATAACAAATGAGTTCGACACCCCTGGCCTAACCAATCTCACATGGTTGTTGTGAGGATACCATGGAGGAGAGGAAAATGATGTAAGCTGCTCTGCGTCCCCATTGGAAATAATTGGGAGGTATATATGAAATTTGAACTTTGAAATATATTTGAAACGGAGATGAGCACTGCAACCCTAGAGTCGGATTTGGCTGGCTTTCGAGCAAGGGAACCTTTACCTTTTTATATATGAAATAAATTTTTAAAAATACTCAAAACGCTGCTTGAGTTAGGAGGAGAGTTCTCAGAAGGAAATCAGAAGACAAGCAAATGGGGACTTCAACCCATTTTGAAATTTAACCCTATGAATGGTCACATATCCACCCACATCAACACAGACCAGGCCTCAGTCCCAGAACATAATTTTAACAATCAGAGCTCTGTTTGAAATGTGTAAAACTGAGAGTCCCCTTGAGCATAAGCAGAGTGCCTATCAACCGTATCATGCATGACGAAAAGACTTCTAAGGCACCGGGTGTGACTTCCAGGCAGAGCTGAACTCAGTCGCATCACACATTTACGCGGTATTAACCCCACTTATGAGCTGCGGTGGCTCAAGTGGTTAAGACGCTGAACTGCAGGCTGTGGAAAGTCGGTAGTTCAGCAGTTCAAGACCCGGGTGCCGCAAGATGGAGTGAGCTCCCATCTTTAGTTCCAGCTCCTGCCAACCTAGCAGTTCGAAAGCAAGAAATTGCAAGTAGATAAATAGGTACCACTTCAGGTAACAGCGTTCCGTGCGCCTTGGTGTTTAGTCATGTCGGCCCCATGACCACGGAAATGTCTTCGGACAGCGCTGGCTCTTCGGCTTGGAAACGGAGATGACCACTGCAACCCTAGAGTCGGATTCGACTGGCTTTCGAGCAAGGGGACCTTTACCTTGAACCCCACTTAAACCAGCAGGGTTCATTACAGAGTGAACATGCAAAGGAATGCGGTGCAAGAATGAAGCATGCCCATTCTGCTCCGATTCAACCTTCCTCCTTATAATACAAATCCCCCTTTGCCCTTCTCTCTCCCTATCCGGTCTCTGACCCACACCAATCCTCCCGCCGCGGCCGTCGTCTCCCACCTGCAGTTAGCTTCTGATGCCGTTCCATGGCCGTCTCCGCTTCCTTCGCTGCTAGCACCTCCGTCTCCGACTGCCTCGCAGGGCCCCGTAATGTCACGGCCGGTTCCGCCATGGACCCCTGACGAACAGCCCAAGCCGGCCGGCAGCGCTACAGGGCCCGGATCAACCTGTGCCGGCGCCAAGGCCCGCGAGAGGCAGCGAGATCCGCCGCCGCCCTGCCCTCACCCGAAGGCGCAGGCGCAGATTCCGTGCTAGCCACGGACAAGCTCTTTCGCAACGGACGCTCAGCTCACAATCCGTTTGTTCCTCAACCAGGATGCTGCTGCGCGTCTTGTCTAGTCGATACGGTAAAGCGCCGCCGTAACACAGGAGAGAGATTGGCGACCTACCCGGATGTGCGCTGTGCTCCTCCCGTGCGGGTTTTGTGTTTTTCATGTTACTGATTGAACTTCTGACATTTTACGAAATTTTGACCTCAGTTGCTATAAGTTGTCTTCATAATCATGCATGTTATAGGCACCCCGACTGAAGAAGATACAAATTTATGGATCTGGTGAAGTATCCACAAATACTTTTTCTTGTTCAGTCGCACAGTCGAGTCCGACTCTTTGCGACCCCACGGACCAGATCACGCCAGGCCTTCCGGTCTTCCGCCGTCCTCTGAAGTTTGCTCAACTTCATGTTCGTTGCATCTATGACACTGTGTAACCATCTCGTCCTTTGCGGTCCCC